TATATATATATATACATATGATTATTTAGGTTCTGAATTTAGTGATTTTATAAAATGTACTCTTTCTCCGTATATATAATTTGTCCTGTTTCTAGATTCAAGTTTCCAACTGGAATGAAGGCAAAGTCTGGCTTGACTCTGCACACGAGTGCACATAATAAAATAAAGAAAAAAATGTTGTAAAATTAATCACTTATCAAATTACATAACATATATTATTATTAGATGGGGTCCCACCCTGTAACACTGCAGAACAGGAGACTAATAATGTAATATGGTCAGTTAAGAATCACAAAATATTAAGATGCATTAGGAAAACATCATAGAGAAAAAAGGTACAGTGATGAGACTTGGCTGAAGATGCCTTAATTAATTAGTTGTTACTGGGATGCAGAAACCATGTTAGCTGAGGCAAGGGGAAGCTGCTCCAGCGTTGGGAAAAAACGAAAACTATCAAGCATTCAGGTAGCTATATTTATTCAATTATCACGTATGCGAGTTGTTGGTTTGTTGAGCTTTTGTTATTACTGGTTGATAAATTAAGAAAACATTCGAATGAGCTAATGAAATAGAGTGTTCAATGAAAACAGAAAGCAAAGGAAGAAGTCAAGAGGATGAAGGCGGAAGTTAAGGAGAAGAGAGAAGAAACAGATCAAATGCAACAACAGCTAATGGCAGAAACAGCGAAAATGGAAGCTGCCGCAGAAAGATTTGAATCGGAGCTTGCTCATGGTTGGGCTGAGAATGAGTTGATGATGGAGCAAAACCTACAAGACCAATATCTTCTGATGCTCTGCTGGGGATATATTTCTTAGATGCAGATGATGGTCCTGTGTATTGAGATGTTGCCTTAGCGAAACAGAAATAGATAGAGAAATATTATGGCTGGGGAGTATATTGATTAAAATAAAAGTTACTGTTTCGTTGTTTATTTAGCCCCATGTATGTTTGTTTGTCTTAATTCCTTTAATTTACTTTGTTCATTGCTTGTTTTCTATATGACAATTTCTTTCATGATTAAAATCCCTCTTGCTTCTTTCCAAGTTTGATGTTGTACATGAGTATTTATTCAATTTGTGTCGCTCCTGCAACATTTTCTGAACCTTTTTTGGGGTTTAGAATGTCTGTACTTGGCATTGGCATAATATGGAAGGAGAGCATTCTTCTCCAATGTCATTGTTCAATAGCAGAGTGCAGTAATCAATCCCTCGATTCCTAGGATTTTAAGCAAAAATGCGAAGGATGATCAGAATTATATATAAATTACTTGGTCTGTCCAATTCTGTGTTTCTGTTTGTGCATTAACATTATATAAATCAAGGATCAGAAGGCATTGCAAACTTGACTTGTCTTTTGTTTCATGCTCTGCCCCTGCTCCAATTTCTTCCAAAGATCAAAATCATGAATGGGAGAACCTTTATTTCGCAATCACTGTCAATAATGTCTCTTTGAATAAAATTACTGTCAATAAACTCAGAATATCATTCTATTTTTCTGGACTGCATTTTTTTCCAGCAATCTTGGTTTCTTCAGCATGTTGGATTCCAGGATCACTGGGCTCAATAATGTTCATTTCGAAACTAATCCAGTTCCAGTGGGATAATTTCATTAATAGTTTTCTTTCAAACAGGATCCGATACTGCAAATGGTCACAGCTAAGCAGAATCTGTTCCTCAAGGAAGTTATTAATTCAACAAAATTATATTGTCAGCAGCATAATCCTTTTTAGGTCTTCATCACCATTCCTAATGCCATATTGCAGAGAAGGATCTGGATACAGGAACATGATCATCAGATATAGAAACTTCTTCAATATATATAGGTGCTCCAAATTTATTTGTTTTCAAGTTTTCCCTTCATTCTGAAAGGTCCAAGAATCATGTCCACAAGCTCATGCAGAGTTTAAATGTTCAAGAAGTATCAGATTTCAGTTTGTTAGAGCACAATGAAGAGTCCATCTAACAAAGATTGAAGTTAATTGACTCCTGAGACAGAAATCCCGAAACTTCTTAAAATTGGATTATAAATCTTGCGGCTAATTAACTCTAGTCTGCCCCAATTCCTTATTGGGGAATGGGAAATTTGTGTAATTTTGAGTAAATAAACATGAGTTAAGGTTGCCAACTTAACTCAGAGTTGTTAGGCCTTTCAGGGCTTTCTAATCAAGTTGCCACAGATGGCTTGTTTCATATCTCTAAGATGTCAGCTTGAAACTTTTAGTGGTTCTGTAGCTAGTTTTCTGATGCAGGGAATTTAAAGAAAAGCAAAGAGGGTAAAACAGAGGAGAAACAGGACACTCACTAAGGACTTTTAACAAACAATTGGTATGCACGATGAAAGATGGAAGAAAAAATGCACAATTAAAGGAACACACAACACAGGATGGGACGTGTGAAAACTGTTACAGGGAAATGATGTTCTTTATTCATTAAAGAAACAGCCTTATTAGTGAAGCTCGTTCAACAAAAATAAACATAAAACAGCTAATACAGACCCAAACAACTCACCAACAGCCAACATTAAGACTTGGACAACTTCAAGGACACAACTCAACAACAAACATTTCAGAGTCTTAATTAATGTTTGCGCATTTTAGAGAATTCATGTTCTCAACATACCTTTGGTACAGGGCAACCCAGGTAAATTCGCTTGTTCTGGTTGGCAATCAGTTCACTGTGATAAAAGGATAAAGAAAAAAATATCTTAAAATCATGATCAAAATTTTTGAATCACAATATTCATATATATATATATATATATTCAATTGCTGTGTTTCTT